AAAGATCACACAGATGGATAAACCCCTTCCAGTTAATCTAAATGGCACTAGCACAAAATCTAGATCAGGAACTTATTTAATCTTCAATGATTTGCAGTGTCTGCAAATGTGAAGATAAATGTTCTCTTCCAGATTAACTACACACTTTAAACACCACTGGACTGATAAGAAGTCTTCGTGGCATTCTGCCTGGAAGCATCCTGGCAGCAGCAATCAGCCAGCAGTAATTACCACGTGTACTCCAGCAAATAATTTCTAATGAATTAAGTATGCAGGGTAAACATTTTGTTACCAACAAATTAACTTTTAACCCCCCCAACCAAAATCTAACGCATGTGAATCTCCTACATATACTCAAGGAATACAGCTGAGAGCCATTATAATCTGAGATAAAGTTCCCTGACCAAAGAAATGTTAAATTGCTTTACATTGCTGGAATTTTACCCTCCACGCTTCCTCCTAGCACATGAACATACTAAGGAAAGAATTTTCTTAGTATGGAAGCAGTTTAACAATGCAAGGACTGCCATACGTAGCCAGAACACAGACCGGGATGTCACCTCCAACAAGGACCAGTAGCAGACACCTGGGACAAGACACAAAAGTGGAGAAATACGGGACAGACAGAACACAGGGGACCCGTCCAGCCTCTGACAGTCACTCCTGCACCAGAAAATGCATCCACACCTTCATTTTTGATGAATTGGATGTGCCTTCAGCAGCCCAGTGTTTGAAACTACTTCACCTTCATAACACAGAGCTGTGGCACATGAGTTTCACAGTTTAGTGATGTAAAAAAAAAATTGCCTTGTGCCTGTTTTAAATCCAACCTCGCCATTTCATAGGAAAATTGGGAGCACCCAATAAGAAGCCACAACCAACCACTTCCTATCCCCTTTTTCAGTATCTTTGATGACATTCATAGGCCAGTATCATACACATGGCCATCAGTTATCTCTCCTTAGTTTAGAAGGGTCCTAAAATAGCCTTTTGATCATTCTGGCTGTACTCTCTATTGCTTTCCTAACAGTAGTATTGTAATTATTTAAATGACATGAATGCTAAATAAATACATATTAAAATACAGACACGTATCCTACACAAGTTGCCATACTTAATTAAAAACTAACTGTAAAGGTGTCAAAAATTGTAGCATTGAGACATAATCAATCCCTACATATATCCACAAGTATTTGAAATGAAATAGATGAAAGAGATGAAATACACTATAGATAGTGTACTAGCTATAGATGGCTATTCCTGTCTTGAACCCCAATATTCTTGTCTTGACAATATTCCTGTCTTGAACCCAATATTCTGCTATATAGGAAGAAACACGCTCAGAGCTATTTTAGTATCTATCAGTCTCCTCATAAGACAGCGTTAACACTCTCCAGGGCCTCCTTCACTACTCACATCCTTGCTTTGAATGGTGGCCATTAAACCTGTTCACTGAGTCCCCCGTTATCACCCAGAACAAAAGCCTCTCTCCCACCCTCTGTCACATGTGAGGCACACGGTGAGTCTACTGATACCTATGTGAATATTTAAAGCAACTTTTAGTACTTTCTCGTCAAGATTACCCCATGCAATACTCTTCCCCTCCACACTAGAAATGACACCTACCCTTACATCATGAGATAAGCCCCCTTCAGCCAGGCAATGAAGGGACATACTCAATGCAGAACCTGTGTCCCAACGACCACTGTCGTACCAAACTCCCTCCATCAACTGTCATCTCCTCCACAGGAATTCAAATCCCACTCAACCCCTAGTGAAGCTAGGCACGTTCATTTTACTACATGCCTCTTATCTACAAATGCATTATGAGGTCCCCCTCAGTATGGATTTTTCATTATGCAGATGAAGTTAAGTTAAAACCCAAAATTATCCCGATTCAACTATTGTTAGCTCATAGCCAAAAAAGTGATTGCCTGGAAAACAGTCTTTTTCTAAGAAATTCCATGATCTTTCTTCACTCTTCTGCAGGTCTGCCTGGACTGGCTCAGGAGATGGGATCTAAGCAGTGAGTGTTTGGTTCAACCTAGGGATAGAGCTATGCGGTTCATCCTGCCAATGCTGGAACTGCAGTCAAATGCAATGGAACAGTCCCATAAGCATATATAAAATCAGATCTAGAAAATACATAGAGAAAGCTTCAAAAATATGCAAAATGTTGTTTCACCTCACCAGTTGAAAAACATTGGAATATTGACTAAAAAGGGAAAATTTCTAGCTAAGAACTAGATGCAAACAGCAGCCAGGGGTTCTTTCTTTCCACATCTCTTGTTTTCCCAACTGCAGCCCATAAGCATATATAAAATCAGATCTAGAAAATACATAGAGAAAGCTTCAAAAATATGCAAAATGTTGGTTCACCTCACCAGTTGAAAAACATTGGAAAATTGACTAAAAAGGGAAAATTTCTAGCTAAGAACTAGATGCAAACAGCAGCCAGGGGTTCTTTCTTTCCACATCTCTTGTTTTCTTTCATTATTTCTATCCATGTCAAAATAACCAATTTAAAATACTTCTTACTATTTACCTTGAACTCTACACTAGCAAAATACTCTACTAGGCACATCGCAAACTGGGATTGGTGCTTTTATGCAAGTTTTACCCATCAATCCCTAACTTTCCTTTTCCTTCTGCCCTCTCATTTCTAATGCACATATTCCATTTTGCCATCTTCTTCACACTGTGTTAACAAGAGGAAGATCAGGATATTTATTAGTTGAGAGACGCTCACTCCCTTGGATTAAGTGTTAAATTAATCTTATGGAGATGATTCATGCTCCAAAAAAATTCTATTCCAAGACAAAAGACTATAAATGTAAGAGATGTAGAGACCACAAATTAACAAAGTAGTACAGATGAACAGAAATAAATTATTACACAATCATTAGTCATTATAAGTAGAGTGTTTAGCAGATAGAAAAACTCTCACTACACATTATACCCCAGCTAAAGCACCAGGAAACATCTTCTCACTTCTAATGTGTATGGGCAACTTCTGTGGTTCCCTTGTTAAAGATAAGAAAGGAACATCTGTCCCCCACCCCGATAACTACTGTGCTTCACTCAGTTTCTTCCTTCTCTGGAAAGAAGCCCCCAGGCTTCTCATCATGGGAACCTTCTCCCCAGATAACCCAGCTGTGACTGCACCCTCCTAGGCCAGCGTTTCGCTTCCTGGAAAGGAACAGAGAGCACCCCCTCAATGACTGGACACGTTGTTCACACTATACTAAAACATATAAAAAGTTGAATCATCTCCTACATGTTTTGATAAGTGTTTTGTTACCTGTTATCTGTATAAACCCCAGCACAATGTGCCCTTCGATAATAAAAACATCAAACTCTCCGAACCTTGTTTGTGTTGTAAAAGGATCTGCTTTGCTGTGTAATGGCTCTATTGGCTTGAATCAATCCATCACAGGATTTAGACAGTGGGAACTGGACAGTCTTGTGTCTCTAGGAAAAACAAGAAAAGAAAATAAAAGAGAAAATGATGAGACCATCGACAAGTAAACACTCAATTTTACACCAATTACTTAGTTTGCTTCCAAGTCAGTTACAGTTCAGTAAAATCCTAACAAATTTATATCAAAAAAAGCACATATTTATAATCATAACTGTTAGAGACTGGTTGTCCGTGCTTAATGCTCCACACCACCTATTTTCTAATGTTGTGTAAATGCCCTGATGGAATGAACTGGCAGAACACTCTGCTCTCAAAAGACGATCTGCTTTGATTTTCTCACTCACTACTTCTAATTACGGGGTTTGTCTCTTTATTAATTCTTTTTCCTGGCCTTGCAGAGAAACAGGGTTTGCGTTATTTTTATCTACAACTTTATATTCCATTCAATTGTCTTTGCAGTCAGGAATTGAGCACAACAAATTAGTGGGTAAAAGGTATCACTACAACCACTGTAACTCCACAGCACGATATTTGTGTTACAGAGCTACTGCACAGAGAAAAGCAAACTATCAGGTAGGAGTGAGTGGGATGTCCAGGTAAGAAGCTGCAGGCTGAACAGAACACCTGTTGCTGCCTCCCAGCATACCCAGATTAGCAGTAACTTGTTCATGAATAAATTCAAAGTAAATATGTTGCTTTGTTCAGAGTAGTCATCCCCAGAAGTCTACTGAATTTACCGGTGGCTCAGAGTAGGCCCAACTTTATCAATCAACTTCACAACTGCACATCTCCCTCTACTCCCCACATCCCCTGCCACGTGGTACAGACTGGTGCTGGGACAGTACGGTGTGTCACACAAGCACAGGCAATTGTCCAGGGACCAGAAGGTCTAAGCTGAGAAAAGACATCCAGGCCAAAGGGCTTACAGGTAAGTTTCTAATTCTGTAAATCATGGCTCTCTGATACAAGCTGTAATCTACAGCAGGACAAAGAGGCTTAATCTCCTCTCCTTCCATTGTATGCGAAAAGGAAATAGCAAGAGATACACTCTAATTCTATTCGCACAGCGTGCATCTGTTCTCATTTCCTACATATTTTTCACTTCTTTATTAACTGCTATTACATGATATTCTAGTTAATTTATTATGGATAGAGGCAATCTGACACTACATGCTATTACAGAACTGGAAGCAAAGCTGCAAAGCAGTGCTTCCCACTGAAACACCACCACCTGAAGTCCTGCTGTGCCAGGTCACCGTACTCGCAGCACCAGTAAGTCCAAGGCTACTCTATGGTGGAGTTGTTCTAGAAAATAAAGTGCTGGAAATTACATGCAATCGTGACTTGCTTGTAATAGCTGCTTTGGAAAAAATGACACCTACATTTGGACTTCTGCATTTAATCTACTCACGACAGATCATTTTGATCCATTAAAAGACTACACAGCTGGAATGAAAACAACTCTGCAATAAAGACTGGGAGCTCCCCCTTAGAGCAGCAGAAAGCTTTTAAGCTGCCTTGATACTTCAGCAATACACAGACAGTGAAGACATCACTTTTAGAATCCTCTTTATTTAAAAACCTGATATCCTACCTGGAAGATACCACTGAGCATCCGTCCGTGCTGGCCCTGGCCTGTGGCTGTCTGTAAGAACCCAGTGCATGCTGCTGCCCACTGAGTCACCCCCGTCTGGCAGCTCTGCAACAGAAGAAAAGGACCCGAATATTCAGAAACCGTTCAATGTCCCCCTGCTTCCACAAGCTTTATTCAATCATACAACAATCCTCAGATTAAACTCCCAACTCACACTTGACAGCAGGATAAATTTTGATTTTTAAAAAAATGAGGCGGGGTCTGGCTTTGAGAAAAGGTGACTCCAGAGACATCTTAGGAATTTGTATAAATATCTGCTGGGGTGGGCAGCCCAGCTCTCCTTAGGGGTGCCCAGTGAAAGGACTACTCTGAGACCAGCAGATCTGCCCAACGATTAGGAGGAATAGACGCAAATCCCACTTGAGCTCCTGTTCCCCATTCCCTGTACCTGCACAGTTACCGCTGTCCCTCAGGTACAGCGTATTGTCCCCTGAGACTGTCCCTTGGCAACTCCTCACAGAACTTAGTGTTTTTAATCTAAGGGGACTGATTTGGGTCCCCTGAGAGGGGAGAGATGCACTTCCATAACAAATGTGTGCACTACTACTACACCTTCCCACTTCGGCTGTAGCAAGACTACTTAGTTTCTGTTCTTTCTCTCTGTCTCTTTCTCTAGTCTCTGTAACTTCTCTATCCAACAAGTAAAATTATGAAAATGATGCATTTCTATTCAAAAAGACATTTCAGCCAAGTACCACAAAGTACTTCTTGAGGTAACCCAGTGCTCTGACATAAACAGTTTAATAAACACTTCAGCGATTCACCATTTTTAATAAATAATTACTCCAAGATTCCAAGGCAAAATTTTTTGAGGCTTCTTCCTTTGTGATAAGAAGGAAAACACCCCTAAGTTGTGGTATGTCCTACAGCTTGAATATACTGGGTTTTACAGCTGTTGAAAAGCACTACTGCAACAAAACTGGCCTGGTCTAGTGGGAGGTGTCCCTGCCCAGGGCAGGGGGTTGGAACTCCATGATATTTAAGGTCCCTTCCAATTCTAACCATTCTGTGATTCCATGAAAATAAGCATACATACACTTAAAAGGTGAGACGTGATAAACAACCAAGTAATAAAGACAAGGCAACAGCAGGAAGTGGCAAAGCAACAGAAATGTTACATGATGAGCTACAGAATCTTCCCTAAGGCAGCACCACTGCTTGCAAACAGAACATTCCTTTCAAGTGCTACTTCTCCATTTGGCTGAAAGAAAATGTACCAAGCATCAACTGGGCAGGTTACCCCAGGAATAGCCTGTAGACAGCACAAGCACCTTCTGCAGCTAGCTGCCTTGTCAAGATATGGATGAAAGAGTGTCACTGTGGTCTTCTAAATCCTCTTCACAACCATTAGGAAACCCTTAGGTACCAGACAAACTATTAAACAGGATCTTTTCTTAGGTAAAGAACAGATGTATCATTATGGCAGTATTAACTAGCAGAGCTGAAATGTTTGGACAGTAATCAGGACTGTACCATACGCTGTGAGCTCCTGAGAAGGATTGAAGACAGAAGAGAACAAAATGCCTTTCTTATTTTCAGTACAAAGAAGAGACGCTGAAAGTTACAATACTTATTTTCATGCTATGAGGCAACTATTAAATTTTAATGCAAAAGAAGATGCTGGGAAATGCCAAAGTTCAGCAAAGCTTGAGCTGAAACACGTTGCTGCTGTCAGAAGTCCCCTGCCTTCCAACTGTGTACTCCCAGCACTTCACAGCTCAGGTGCTTCTCTGATTACAAAGCACTTCGGATCACAGAAGTGGCAAACAACTACATCTTCTCCCTTCAAAAGAGTAAGTTTCCCGGCCAGGCTGAAAAGCTGGATCAGTTTATTTTGCCACAGGAATGCCAGACGCAGCCAGGAGAGGAGGAGCTGCCCAGGCACAGGTAAGCCAGTAGAAAAGTCCTTCACCTTCTGGAAGCAGGTTTTCATTGCAAATGGCACCCTGGGGTACAGCTCCCCAGAGAGCTGAACCCATCCAGTGACTCACTGCTTCCCTGCCACCTCCCTGCTCCCCTCCTGCCTGGCTTTCCCCTCCCTTTTTGCTAATGGTTGCCTTTTTAACACATTAAAACTGCAGGAAACTGTTTGGGTTTGTTTTTGTTGTTGCCACAGTTCTGCTGCTCCAGCTTTTGCAGGGGCAAAGAAAAATGCTGGAGAAGACAAGGGTAGGCAACAGTGCAAAGCCATGAGCAAGGAGAAAGAACAGGAACGGGAGGAGGAAGCAGGAACTCCAGCTCACAGCATTTCCGTTGCTCTCCAGCAGGTTCACTCTCAATTGCTTTCACCTTGAGATGAGAAAGGACAGGGCTAACCCTGCTTGTAAAAACCACACCCTGAGACATCAGTTCCAAGAATGCAGTGGATTAATTTCATAAGTGGGTATTGCCCTCTGACTAAAGGCCTTTCATCCTCCCAATGAATCCACCTCCACCTCGCAGTGCTGGCCATCCCTTGTATTTATGTTGGGACAGAGTATCGGGCCCAGGCACAAACTTCTTCCTAAAGAAGTGTGCTAAAAAATGGTACTGTGCTGCAAAGACTTCAAAGGCTAACAGAAAGAAAAAAAAAAAAAGTACACAAATGCATGAGAAAGAGGGAGCTGGATGATTAATAATTCATCCTCATTCATTCCCAGGAACCCAAGCTCTTCCGATTAACACAGAAATTGGAATTTTTGTATTACCCTTGCAATCCAAAACCTCTAAGGTGAGATGGGAATCTCCGAGAAGGGCAAGCCCTACCCCCCAGGACACACACACTGTGCCCAGAGCAACACGAGAAGGACCGGACTGAAAAAATAACAGTTTCTCAAGCCCCAATCGGGAGGACTAAAGCCTTCCTAATTCTCATGCAAACACAAACTCTGAAGGAATAGCTCCACCCGTTCCTTCACCAGAGACTGCTGCCGGGGAAGGGGCCACGGGGAGGTGGGAAGAGCCGGTGGGTGCCGCGGACCCCCCCGCGGTTCTCACCCACAGCCGGCTGAGGGGAGGCCGGGCCGCGGGAACCGGCGGGAGGGGACGGGGCAGCCACCTCAGGGACGGCATCGGGACAACCCCTCGGGGACGCGCCCGGCCGCACACACGCCGCTCGTGTTCCCGGGGCGGAGAAGGCGGCCCCGGCCACCGCCGCCACTCACCACGGCTCGCACCAGCGCCGCCATGGGTCCTCGGCGCCGCTTCCGGCGGAGCGGTGCGCTCGGCCCCGCCCCTTCCGCCCCGCCCGCTGCGCAC